TTAAATGTATACTATAAGTACATCAATGAAAAATGGGTCTTTTTCACTGCCAACGGTCTTTAGTTTTGGTATGTGATAAATAGAATATTAAAATCGTGTAAGTTTAATACTGAATTTATTGAAGTTGTTGAATAAAATAATATAACGCTCGACAGAGGCTCGCATAATATAATTTTATTCAACTTGTTCAATAAATTCAGTATTAAACTTACACTCATTCAATATCCTCTATAGAATAAAATTATGAGGAAACAACTATATTAGGACTTCACAGAGGTGCATTTTAAATTTGATGGAAAGGCTACTAACATGTGTTATCTTTTTTGGGGGGGAGGGGATTTCTAGACAATTAATAAATTATTCAACGTCATCATTGTTTTCAAATGTGTATTAATTCTTGACTTGCTAATTCATAATTTTTTCTCTTCATAAAATGTTTATAGTGAGGGCGTCTTTAACACATTATTTGACCGTAATTTTGCAGTCAATTCACCTAACCAGATGTCCTGGATAACTAACAAATTATTACAAATTCCTTAGCAATGACTAACTACTAATCCAAAGTAATGTTTGCAGCAAAGGCGAGAGACAACTGAAAATTAGACTCAATTTAAAGTAGCATAATATCTAATATGAAAAAGCAAAGGTTGAGTTACTCATAATGCTTTCTTAACCTTTGTGTATCACAGACTATGAACTTACCTTTGTTTCATTGCTGCATACGAGAAACTAACAAACTTTGGTGCGAACTGACAAACAATTTTGTGATGGGCTTCCAGCCCAGATGTCTGGTCAACAGGTGACAGCTTCCGAACATCTGATAGACGCCTGTTTCCCAACAACAACTGTAGCTCTTTATGTGCCTTGCATCCTAAGTATTCATATAATTTACATAGAATTAAAACTTGATAAAGTACACATATCAATAATGGTTATGAACAAATGTTGTTGTTTTTTTTCTAAAAAAAATTAGACCTTTCACTTCTTAAAATTCATCGCAAATTTAAGAGAAGATTTTTTAAAAATGCTATTTAAATGATTTTTAGTTGTTTAAGTATTCAATCCGACAATAGCTTGTGAAAATACAGTCTAGTTTCATTGGTGTGGAATTTAGATCAATTCAGCTCTATTAGGTCACATTGCCACATTCAACCTTTCCTATAGGATTGAGTATCACTTCATACATTATTGCAGACATCAGCTTGCACCTTGAGGTGAAAGTAGAACCACTGACTATACAAGCTTACTTGACACCTTTCTGACATGAAACAATTTAAAGCGTTTTACTTTAAAATACCCACTATATTGTAGTAAGGTGCATGTGTTTCAAGGTCATAACCTTAAACATTTAAGAATCTTTCGCATGTGACGGTTTTATTTCATAATCAGTGTAAAATGACTTGATGAAATTAATGTTATTCTGGGATAAGTTGAACAAAGTCCTGACTCACTGATGATAATTCTCTATCTGCAGGATAGTATCAACTGCATTTGTCAACAATAGATAATAATGGTAGAGTGTATTTACTGTATGCATACAATCAATTACCTGCTTTACTCCAATGTCTTTCAACTGGACCGTGACTACATTGTGGAAATTTGTTACATGTCCATCAAGTTTGTTTGTTATATGGTTTAGCACCGAGAGCCATTTCTCCTCTACTAAAGCCCCATCACCACCACTTGTTGCCGCACAAAAATATAAATGATTTGCAATAGACTGTGTTCATTTACCCACAATTTCACATCCTTTTTTCTTGCTTAGAGCTGTAAGCTTAGTTTTTATACCTAAATCATGAAAAAAAGAACAATATGTATGAAACAAAAATGTGAATTTGGTTCCCAAAAAGATTAATCCACTTTTTTTGGCTAATGCAACTGTACTTTTTTAAGTAAGGTTACTTTTAAGTGACATCTTGGTTAAACTCCTGTTTCCTGCATGCAGCAGTACCAACGTAAACTGTTTTGTGCTGTACAAATATTTCAGTTAGACATGTGCTTTGTGAAAAATGTTCCATAAAAACAAGATGAATTTTAAAAACCAGGAGATCTATACTATATAAACATTCTGAAAGCTCTAAAAATAAGCATGTTGAAAAGCTTCTTGTGATGATATCAGCTTATGAGCTACAATATACACAACGTAAGCAAATTAATCTACCTATTATTAGCAACAATTTTGACATTAATTAAAACAAAATATAAATTCATTTTAAGATATCTGTTTATGTTTGAGATGAAAAACCATATATCTTACTTTTAGCAAAATGCCAGCAATCAAACCAATAGTTTATTTCAGTTTTGTTTTCTCGGATATACTTTCTGACTTGTACATGATGATCTGTTGTTAAATCAAACAAATGAATGTCTGCACATTCTAACTTTGAAACTGCTCTTTTCAGACCTTCAAGTTCCATAACATTTGAATTTTTCACTTCATTACTCTAAAAATAATAAGAAAATAAAGTTATACAAACAAAAATCAGATGATAATTATATAAAATATATTTCTGCTTGTCTAGTAATCTCCCTTTAGTTGGGTTTTATTAGCCCAGCTTGCACCTTTAATTTATCTGTATTAATAAACAGCCCCCTGCAGTAAGTGAACAATAATATGATGACAGAATGTGTAAAATAAGGTTTGAAAGTAAACTGTAAAACAATAATGTCCTCAAATATTTGTTGTTTTCTGCATTGGGACTACTTAACTAAAGACATAAGTTATATGAACAAACATACATATTATAGAGAATATTAGAGGGAAAATCCTATTTAAGCTACTGATTTATTTCAGTGTTCAAATATCTGTAAAGCCTCATCTTTAATAAGTTTAAATAATAGAGGTGTAACGATTCATCGCGATCTGCCCTGTCCTCGATGTATGCATCGTAATGAAATTACAAATTCCAATATATTGCGATGCAATACATATTTCACCTCCCGATGTATCGATATAGCGGGAAAGTATCGCAATACACTAACAATATCTTCCAGGAATATAAGGACAAACGTATTTTTTGAAGAAAAATAGCTCGGATGAAAACAATGAAAAAGCGCGACTATTATCATATCATCGTTGTCATCTCGTTTCCCCATGTCCGCAATCATTTAACAGTAACCAACCAAGTTTTATCAATTCCATATAAATGGGCTGGTGGTCTTTGAACTTGTTTAATAATAAAAAAATAATTAGAGATCTGTGCGTTTTCAAGAAAAAAAACCTACCAACATGAATTAGTAATTTTATTTAGTCGCACTTGATGTCGAATTAAAATAGTGATGATGACAACATTCCCATGTGATATTTGTCACGTATTTTATACTTTCATTTCCGTTGACGTCATTTTCCCGTAAAAAAAACAACAAAACAAACAAACAGAAAACATGTTGACGGGCAAAAATTTAAAAGGGGGAAACATAGTTAACCCTCCCCGGTCATATAAAAAAAACTTTTGGGGAATTTTGTAGTTTGGGGGAAAAATCAGACAGAAATGTATTTGGGAAGCCCGGGATTTTGGATTTTTGCAAAATCCCAAACCCAAAAAAAAATACTGTGGGGTTTGGGGGCACAAAATTTTTTCGAAAAAAATGAAGGAAACTAAAAAACATTTTTTTCCAAAAAGGGTTGACCAAATTTTAAAATCACCTTTTACTTTTTTTTTTCCAAAAAAATTTAAAAGGTGTATTTAAGACTGAAAATTTTTTAAAACTGTCAAAATTTCCCCCAAAAAGTGGACATTAGTGTTGAATAGTAGAAAATAAATTTGTTGATATGGAAAATTTAACCCAATTTACCAAAAATTTCCCTTAAAGTAATCAGAAAAGTAAATTATTGAAAGATCAAAATCTGAAACCATTAGTTATAACAACAAGTTAAAGAGTTTATTGTTTTGTTATTGCTCTGTTGCTAATATCATGCCTGTTTCCAAATCCATCAATGTATAACTACCATATTTTGCTGTATGACCTGGTGAACAACAGCGAGCATCTCCACCAACACATACATTTTTCCCTACACATGCCTCTAGATTCTCTGCTTGTTTTCTTTCCCATACATTATTCACTGCAGGTATAATAAATGACTTCTGGTATCGAATAAATGTTCTCTCTTTTATCATTGCAATTCCAGTGAATTTAAAAAAAGTTAAGAATCTTTGAAGGTGATGCTCCTGAAAAAACAACAGTTCCTGCAGTCAATAAATTCCCAAGTGGAGCATTCCCACAAAGTGGCTGACTTCGCCAGATTCTCTGATGACCTGTCTCACAAATTGTTTCTATGACAACCATACTACCTTGCACTTTCTTCTTAATGTTCTTACACAATGAATGGCATATTTGGCATACTTTAAACAACTCCAATAGTGCACTTAAAAACACATTAAATTTTGTCTCTTCTAATGGATCTGAGTTGTCCTCTATGCAATCATACCTGAAAAAAATAAATGGATGTTTTAGTAAAAATACAATATAAAATAAATTTGCATAGACCTAGCATCCTTTGATCAGGTCTTCAAACTACTATCAAAGCGGTTGCATTATTATATTTTTTAATAGTGCAATGTAATATTTATTCATGTCCAATTTGAACAAATTGTGGAAAACTCTCCAATTGTGTAATGCTCATTCACTAAACTTGTTAGGTAAGGATCACTCTGCATTTCGTTATTTTGATCACATGTTAGTATACTTATTTGTCTTCAAAAATTATAATTTGGGTACTGGTGCTAGAAAAGCCTGCATACTTTAATGATGTTGTACCCACACATCTTTTATGACTGAATTCCATTTTAAGGATGATGTCATGTTGATGCTATGTATAAAGTTGTTAAAGTAATTTCTACCATGAGAAATAAGTGCTAGATGAAACAAGAGGGCCATAGGCCCTAGATCGCGCACCTGACCCAATGAACTCATCCAAACAATTACCTAGACAAGCATTCTGACCAAGTTTTATGACAGGTGAGTCAAAAATGTGACCACTAGAGTGTTAACAAGGATTACCCATATTTGAGCTAAAAAAAAGTTTTCATATTTTTTCAATTTGATATGCCAGAAATAGCACCAGTTGTTGTCTAAGTTGGTAAAATCTAGCTCTCTGAATACCTGTTTTGTAGAAACTTGTCCAAAATAAATGATCACTGTAAATAACAGTTAACTTTGAGCTAGATATCCCAAAATGAAATACAAATATAAAAATATAAATACAAACCAACTCTTACCAGACACTTGAATTCTCATCATCTTCATCATCATCGTCCATGTCAACAAAGTCTTCTTCAGAGGGTTCCCAATCTGGATCATCATCAACATCATCCACAAAATCATCTTCAATATTCAATCTATATTCATCTAAAACCTCCTGATTTTCTGGGAATTGAAAGTTCTTATCTATTGGTTCTACATTGTCTGGTCCACATTGTGTATCTTTAGTTTGTATCTCAGGGGTAGTGCCATTATCTTGTACTTTTGGTCTAATATGGACACATTTGTGCTCTGTTGGTCTGTTTGATATACTCTGAAAACAACATTTCTTAAACCGGTAACTGTTTAGTTGTATAAATTACAATAATATATCCGCAAGTTTTGAAAGTAATGAAAAATTAGGTAATTATAAATAAATGTTTGCACGAAATAAATTCTGACAATAGTAAGTCCAGTCTATTACAAAAAATGAAAATAATTTAGAAAAAAGAAAAACTTATTGGACAACATACAACAACTTTTATTATGCTTTTTAGATAATAATTTTGCAGTTTTATAGCTGCATGCCTCCAGATGAGCTAAAATATTTCAAGAAAATAAAACTTTTGAGTAAAAAGTACTGAGATTTTAAGAAAAGTATAAATATTCAAGATGAAAGTAATATTTTTATGTTATGATCGATTTATGAACGATTTTGCAGTATTTTTACCCATATTTCTACTGCGTAACTAACCTATTTTTTGAAGGGCTAGTTTGCATATTTTGACGTCTTTTTTGGTAGTCATTATGAGTTGTTTATGCTGTTTGCAATGTAAAAATTATTTCTTTGTTCACTTCACAATATTTTACTTTTTTTTATACATTTTCAAAATTTTCATGAAAATAAACATGAATCTGGAGGCATGCTGCTTTAAGTTGATACCATTCAAAGTGTAACAAGAGCTGTCAGTAGAACAGGATAACTTGATAGTAAAAGAGCCTTGATAATGAAAAAGTTTCTTAGTTCCCAAAAGGGCCAATTTTTTTTTTCAAATCTATGTTACAGTTATATGCCTTGGAGAGTGACTCCTATTATGCTCTCAAAGAAGTGCATAAAGTTTCAACTTGTTTCAAAGCCAGATGTCAATGGAATACGAAAATATTTGAGGTGGTACACAGCTTTTAACATAAATTTTAAGTAGAAAAAGGGGCACTATTCTATCAAAATGCTTGATAGAGTTATCTCCTACCGTCTTGAGGTTTAGGGCATGATGGTGAACAAGTCTGCAAAGTTTCAAAGCAATATATCAATGACCTTTATAAATATGTGAGGTATTATGCAAACTTAACGCAAATTCTATGTCGGAAAAGGGGCATAATCCTGTCAAAATGCTTGTATTTATATCTTCTTTTCAATGCACTCAACATATTGAAATTGTAATCATGATGCATTATTTTATTTTTCATTGGCATACTAGCGTGTTTGTATGAGCTTAAGCACATTCCTGAGAGGCGTCTGAATAATTAGTGCTAAAATTTGAAAGTGCATATTTATTCACGTAGATATGAAAGATAACTCCTAGGTGAAGTTAAGATTAATAGAGTAATAAATGACGAAATAAGTAAAAATTATTTCACTTAAAAGTTAAAGACATTTATAAGTGCCTTGAAATGAGTCAGACATTCGTGTAAAAAGTTACCTCGTTAAACATTTCAGGAAGGTATATTCAGAATAAAATGTGATTCTAGCTCATACACATACTTAGGCCAATGAAAACAACAAGAAATATATGTAACAATTTTAATATGTTGAGTGCATTGGAAAAAAACACAGGTCATAATAATTCAACATACATATTTTTTTTTTGTTACGGGAGGGCTTTTGTCCGCCTTGTTAATTTCAAGGGAGGGCTTTTGTCCGCCCAGTCATTTTCATGGGAGTGCTTTTGTCAGCCTTGTTATTTTCACGGGAGGGCTTTTGTCCTCCTTGTAATTTTTTGACGGGAGGGCTTTTGTCCGGGAGGGCTTTTGTTCGTTTCCCATTTTCTTTTACTGTAATCGTATTTAGAATGGGTGTAGGACAAAAGCCCCTCCCCCTCCCCCCGGACGAAGCCCCCCATTTAAAAATGACAAGGTGGACAAAAGCACCCCCATTAAATTTACACATATGACAAAAGCCCCCCCCCCCCAAAAAACAGGTAGGACAAAAGCCCCCCCAGTCCATCAAACAAAAGCCCCCCCCCCATTAGGTGTATAGACCAGACTGATTACATTTTTTTTCACAAGACAAGTGTTCGGGAACTTGGGTTATACTTCAAATAAATCTAAACAAGTATGCGCCTTTCACTTCTATTTCCTTGATATTTAGCGTTGATAAGCGAGTCTCTGAAAAAATTCGCCTGTACGAAAATGCCTACCCTGACTACACCCTGATTTGACATGGGATAAGAAATTTATTCCCAACCAGGTTTTTTACGCTAAATGTTCAGTTGACTATAGAGAAGACAGAAACCTATTTTTAGATTTTTTAGCATACAATATATAGTGTTTTCAGGGTGGATTCAACGAAATATTTAAATGAGCCAGAAAAAATACCACCCTGAAATGGAAATCCAGGGCAGAATTTACACTCACACAGATTTCTAAAAAAAGATTTACTTCTAGTTAAATTAAGAGCAATTTCAGGGTGGGATTAATTATGCCCCCGCCATGTAATGGCCGGGGCATATAGTGTTACCCTGTTCCGTCATTCCGTCCTTCCGTCCTTCTGTCATTCCGTCATCATCAGTTTCCGTTCATTATCTTGAGAACGGTTGCACACATTCAACTCAAATTTGACATATGGATATATCATGAGAAAATACAGGTCAAGTTCGAATTTGGTCATGGTTCGATGATTTTTGGCAGAGTTATGCCCCTTTTACTTTGAAAATAATATGAAATTTCAGTTTCCGTTCATTATCTTCCGAACAGTACAACACATTCAACTCAAACTTGACATATGAATATGTCATCAGAAAATACAGGTCAAGTTCGAATTTGGTCATGGTTTGATGATTTTTGGCAGAGTTATGCCCCTTTTACTTTGAAAATAATATGAAATTTTCAGTTTCCGTTCATTATCTCCCCAACGGTACAACACATTCAACTCAAACTTGACATATGGATGCGTCAAAGGAATGCGCAGGTCAAGTTAAAATTTGGTCATTGTTCAATGATTTTAGCAGAGTTATGCCCCTTCCACTTTGAAAGTAATATGAAATTTTCAGTTTCCGTTTATTATCTCCCCAATGGTACAACACATTCAACTCAAATTTGACATATGGATATGTTTTTGGAATGCCCAGGCCAAGTTTGAATTTTTGGTCATGGTTCAATGATTTTTGGCAGATTTATGCCCCTTTCACTTTGAAAATAATATGAAATTTACAGTTTCTGTTCATTATCTACCCAACAGTGTTACATATTCAACTTAAATTTGACATATGGATATGTCAAAGGAATGGGCAGGTCAAGTTGGAATTTATTTTCACAAGACAAGTGTTCGGGAACTTGGGTTATACTTCAAATAAATCTAAACAAGTATGCGCCTTTCACTTCTATTTCCTTGATATTTAGCGTTGATAAGCGAGTCTGTGAAAAAAATCGCCTGTACGAAAATGCCTACCCTGACTACACCCTGATTTGTCATGGGATAAGAAATTTATTCCCAGCCAGGTTTTTTACGCTAAATGTTCAGTTGACTATAGAGAAGACAGAAACCTATTTTTAGATTTTTTAGCATACAATATATAGTGTTTTCAGGGTGGATTCAACGAAATATTTAAATGAGCCAGAAAAAATACCACCCTGAAATGGAAATCCAGGGCAGATTTTACACTCACACAGATTTCTAAAAAAAGATTTACTTCTAGTTAAATTAAGAGCAATTTCAGGGTGGGATTAATTATGCCCCCGCCATGTAATGGCCGGGGCATATAGTGTTACCCTGTTCCGTCATTCCGTCCTTCCGTCCTTCCATCCTTCCGTCATTCTGTCATTCCGTCATCATCAGTTTCCGTTCATTATCTTGAGAACGGTTGCACACATTCAACTCAAATTTGACATATGGATATGTCATGAGAAAATACAGGTCAAGTTCGAATTTGGTCATGGTTCGATGATTTTTGGCAGAGTTATGCCCCTTTTACTTTGAAAATAATATGAAATTTCAGTTTCCGTTCATTATCTTCCGAACAGTACAACACATTCAACTCAAACTTGACATATGAATATGTCATCAGAAAATACAGGTCAAGTTTGAATTTGGTCATGGTTTGATGATTTTTGGCAGAGTTATGCCCCTTTTACTTTGAAAATAATATGAAATTTTCAGTTTCCGTTCATTATCTCCCCAACGGTACAACACATTCAACTCAAACTTGACATATGGATGCGTCAAAGGAATGCGCAGGTCAAGTTCAAATTTGGTCATGGTTCAATGATTTTTGGCAGAGTTATGCCCCTTCCACTCTGAAAGTAATATGACATTTTCAGTTTCCGTTTATTATCTCCCCAATGGTAAAACACATTCAACTCAAATTTTACATATGGATATGTTTTTGGAATGCCCAGGCCAAGTTTGAATTTTTGGTCATGGTTCAATGATTTTTGGCAGAGTAATGCCCCTTTTACTTTGAAAATAATATGAAATTTACAGTTTCTGTTCATTATCTACCCAACAGTGTTACATATTGAACTTAAATTTGACATATGGATATGTCAAAGGAATGGGCAGGTCAAGTTGGAATTTTGTCATGGTTTGATAATTTTTTGGCAGAGTTATGTTCCTTTCACTTTGAAAATAATATAGATACATCTTAGGAATAAGCAGTTTAAGTTTGAATTTGGTCGTGGTTCAATGATTTTAGACAAACTTATCTTTCCTGAATGTTGGAAAAATTTTGAACTTTCAGTTTCAGCACTCATACTTTTAGCCATTATTTTGGCTACAAATATGCAATATGCTATTTTTAAAAGGTTAAGACTGAATAATTTCAGTGCCTTGAACATTGTATGAAAATGGTTTGTGTTAACATTGAAAAGTTTTAAGGGCTTTGAACTTAAAATGAAAAAAATAATTAATGCACCATCTGAAATTTTGGCTGCATGCGGGGGCATCCGTGGCATAATGACACATTTCTAGTTTGAAATATTTAAATGAGCCATAATTCACCCTGATTTCTGTTCAAAAATTCGGGCCAGACCTTTTTCGTCCTGTTATTATCCCGCCCCAAAATTTTGCAAATCCCACCCTGAAATTAAAATAAAAATCCACCCAGATTCCTGTTCTTTATAGAATCAACCCCAGAAAATATTCATAAATAAATTTCATAGTATTTTGAGCATTATGTATTTTAGAATAATAAGTGATTACAAGTAGCTCATAACAAACAAATTAATTTGATGAAAATAACACTGAATTGAACATCTTCACAATTCAGTGTTGGCTATTTGATTACAAATTTTCACCAAAATAATAATTTATTTAGAATTTTGTTTCACTAATCTGTATTTGATTTTTATACAATTAGATACATTTCAAGAGTCATTCTTGTTCGATAATTCCACATGATAACTGTAAGCTGTATTACATAATTCCACTCTATAGTTTCTGCCCAAACAATCTGTAAACATATGAAAGCAGTGTAGGAATATGCTATAGACAACTTTCAATTATAATATATATTAATCTAAAAGAAAATGTAAACCACCCTTATATAGAGAAATATGTCCCATACAGTGTAGTTTTAAAGGTATTATATTGCATTAAAATTGCAAGTTCAAAACTTTCAAAAGAACAAATGATTGATTAAATTATTTTAAAGAAACTACAGCATTATAAATATATATGTACTGACTTCATGAAGTCATTAATTCTATAATGTTTGCAGGGATGAATACTTTTAATAATTAAAACTGAAACTTATTTTCACAGAAAATTGAAAAATTAAAAATTACCAGTAATATTTCTTCTATTGCAACTACACCATATTCTTCTTCTTAATATCCTCTTCTCACATGTTACTGAAATATTTGGCTTCAACCTAAATTTTGGAAGTAGAAAAAAAAAACAAATATGCAATCATGTCATAATTTTTATTACATTTTAATTCTAAAATGGATTTATTATGATCAAAATGTACAGTTGTTTTTAGAAAAATTAAGTCTTAGAATGATTTCTATTTTCCCTCTATATTTTAAAACAGGTTTCCTGGAAATTTATTTAAAGCTTTTCAGAATACTGAGCTTACACAATTCATAATTTTATGAAAAATTAGAAATATTAAGAACTGTTATTCAATTATAACTTACCATTTTACAAAGTTTAACACATTTTTCATGCTCCATATTATATATCGAGGTTTAGCGCAAGACTGTAGTAACTGTATATTTGTAAATTTTACAAGAGAGGCAAAAAATAATTCTGTTTTAAATGTTATTCTATCATTTCTTAAGAGTTCTTAGAATATGAATAGAAAGTGTAGAAGAAAGCAAATGAATTAACAAAAAAATGTTAATATTTTTTCTTTCTTAGATATTTGAACTGTGCTGAGTTACTACACTCCTGCGCTCAATGGTAATATTTTGAAAATTATTCTGAGCGCAAGACAGTAGTAACTAGACTTACTGCAGTATTACATGCACAAAATGAGGGCATTCTGTTTACAATATTAATTGCAACACTATAGTAACTCAATTAATTATACTTGAAATAGGATAAAAGACAGTGTTCAATGTAACCTTTAATCTTCAACATCATTATAACAAAGGGGTGAGGGTTCAAAAAGATGTTTTTTCATTATTAACATTAATTGTGATGTCAATAAAACATTATTTTGTGCAGCAGTCACAAGTATGATTCTCTTCTATGTTGACACTTTTGTTAATAGCAGTGACGAAAAATAGACATGCATGGAACTTCCTTTTTATGTATTGAAGCTTATAATGTAGGACATAATTATGTTTTATGACAAAAATCAATTTTTTTTCTCTAAAATATGAAATAACTGTAGTCATTTTGCAAGTACCATACTTATACTGCATCACCAATACAAAGTTTTTAAAACAAACTTGAAATTCTCTTACTTCATCTATTTTTTTCAACAGAAACAAAGCTATATTTTTTACCCAAAAACCCTGTATTTGGGAAATTGTACCAAAATAAAATTAAATGTTGAAGATTTATTTGACATCAACAATTTTATTTTTACAGTTTTTACGAAGGGTTTTTGAAAAAAGTTCTGGGAATTTTGTCATATTTCCTATTTTTTGTTTGTTTCTAAGACGTTATATTTTGCACATACTAAGATTAACATATCAAGGAACTATTCCTAAAAATTGAATAGAATCAGACAACAATAGCCGGAAATAGCAGTAACCATAGCAACACTATAATGTCGCACCGGAGCAGTCAGACTCTAAAGAAAGTTATAACGCGCTACACTCATAATATTTCGTAATTTTGATAACGTAAAAAAAATGCGCGAAAACGCTGGTCAGCAGCGGAACGTCATGAGTTATGGCCCTTTAATAATTTTTATTTTTAAAGTTTGTCCGGACTACTTCTCTTATACCACTGATGCAATTTCAATGAAACTTTACAGGATTGATTTGTAGCTCAAGTCCTTGCGCATATTGCACGGGTTTTCCGGTTGAATAATTTTTGGCTGAGTTATGGCCCTTTAATAATTTTTATTTTTAAAAGTTTGTCCGGACTACTTCTCTTATATCACTTATGCAATTTCAATGAAACTTTACAGGATTGATCTGTAGCTCAAGTCCTTGCGCATATTGCACGGGTTTTTCGGTTGAATGATTTTTGGCCGAGTTATGGCCCTTTGATAAAAAGGTGTTTTTTTTCTGTGTGTTGCCAGATACACAAAAGCTTGTCCGGACTACTCCTCATAAACTACTGGTGCAATTTTATCCAAACTTTACAGGAATGATCAGTACCAAGTCTATTTGTGCACTGTCCGTCTGTCTGTCCGTCTGTCACAAAACTTGTCCCAACATGAAATTGGCCATCATGAGGCGACACATGTGATCACTGATCGCTCTTGTATTGTTGCTTTAAAAGGCTTTGTAAACTATAATCGAGGGTGAAAGCTTAACAACCGCATATACAAGTAGTCCCTAACCAGTATTGATTGGCAGTTTAGCACCATTTTTTCTTTTACTTTGCCTATAGTGAGTTTTAGAATCAATAATAAAGTGAAATAAATTCTAAATTAACCTATTTCCAAACAGGTTGATATATGGCTATAGACCTTTAAATATATTTTTTATATTCCAATTTCTGTTTATATAAAGTATCATATTTATTGTTTTTGCAAAGTTTAAAAATAATGTCAGAATAATATTGTACATGTACGTTATTTTTTTGTTTCTGACAATTTTTTAACCAAACAGGAAGTAAGAACAGTTATTTTTCATAACAGTTTAGTCGCTAAAAACAGTGATATGAACCTTCCAGACCGTACAAATCATGATCGTTATAGACACATAACACAGTCGCTTAATACAGTGCAACTGTATAGCAGAAATCAATGGGCCGATTAAACCAAACTCCTCGCAGCGGTTACTTCCCCTGATCTGTACACTGCAGTAAACACTGCCACCACAAGTAAATTCGGTCGAATATAGCCGGATATATTTGTTTCACTTTTAATTTTAAAATAAAATAATTTAAGTTTTCTTTCGTTAAATAGTTATGCTTAATGTACAAGAAAGTAAAAAAATATACGTATAAAAATTATTCTGTAAACATAACGAAAGATATTTTCACTGTGACACCGTATGCATAGTAAATAATGGCAGAATATAAACAGTTATTGAACGATTGCACTCGGCACTTGTTTTAAAGTGATAACAAATTGTGTATCTTGAACATATTTTGTCTGGTAAGGATGTAATTATAAATCTGCCAGTTTGATATGGGATCCTTGGCGTTCTGAAACTGGCCGCCATGTTTTTGTCACATGATACAACTATCATCACGTGATTTCAGTGGTGGCAGTGGTTAAAGTAGCAAAGCGTTACGTAACCGCTGTGAGGAGTTTGCGATTAAACAGGGTCACATAAGACAGGAAGTCACTGAATTCAGTGGGTAACTATGGCAGTTTTGACTGTATTGACCTTACACTTTCGAATATTCAACGATCTTTTGTCAGTAATTGTCATATTCTGAAGTATATCATACAGATTTTAAAGTATGGCATAGTATACATGGATTATGTTTAACTAAAAGTTACCAACATAACACTTGCCTAACTAGCCTCTATGATAAGGACTTTAGGCTCTTAGTTTCAGAGTAAAGGTTGTATGTTCGAATCGTAATGAAACATTATGTTTTTCTGGGGTTTTTTTTATGTTGTTTTATTATATTTTTCGAAACTATTACTAAGGTTTTGCGCATGCCAAATCAAACATTATAAGTATGACTGTACAAATTGAAATTATGAAACTTGAAATTATGAAACTTTAGAAATAATACATCTATATATCAAAGTAAGGACTTTTTCTAAAGAAAAGACATAAGAAATCAAAGAAATGATTCATTTATTAATGCTGCATATAAAAGAAGAATTCGAACTTGCAACTTTGCGAAAACACTAGGCCATCGTTAATATAAAATAAAGTATTGACAACTTCATATCATTAGAGACAATAACTAAATCGTAAGAAATTACAAAAGTCACGAAAAAACTTCCGAAAGTTAATGAGTCTCACAGGTCAATATTGCAAAACATAATACTGGCTAAGAAAGTAAACACTAATACAGAGGTGGTGCATATTTTACTGTAGATTAGTTATATAAATTTTTTTTATTTTTCCTTATTTAGAACAACATACTAGCACTTCTGATATAAATGAAGGGTTTACTTTTACATGATGTTTAACTACTAAACCAATATAACTGTTGTACGAGTACATTTTAGATTTCAACTGAAAATTTCAAATTCATTTGCGGTTTTAGCAAAATTTCTGAAATACACAGACAAGAAATGTTGCTAAAATATAAATGATATATAGATATACATGTGTAGTGTCATCCTTTGAAATGTGATCATTGATGATATCATAATGTATTGCCTTGTGAGTTACTACAGTCTTACATGAAAATATTAGGGCACATTATTTATTATTTTAGTGCAAGACTGTAGTAACAACACAGTTACTACAGTCTTGCGTTGAATATAATAAAAAATTCATTTCTTTTTAAGTGCAAAACTGTAGTAAGTCCAGTTACAACAGTTTTGCAGAAAAATATTTTTATCTGTTGAGTTACTACAGTAGAGTATTAATAAAAAATTTATGAAATGAAGTAACATAAAAACAAAAATAATTACCACATGATGTAAAATACCAAATAATACAGGAAATTTAAAAAAAATCATTTTCAGAAAAAATGGTAGTTACTACAGTCTTGCGCTTAACCCTCGATATATGTTTAAGTTTCACAATAAATTTCCCAAGAAAGTTCTGTATAGCTGGGGTAGTTGAATTCTTAAATCTCCTTTTCTATATAATTATCAAAACTCATTTATGTATTAAATTTAATATATAATTGTAAGTTGATTTATTTGAATTATAATCATAACTTAAATCATCTGATATATTACAATAAAACACTGGAAAGCATGAAATAAATCAAACTATACATTTTCCAAATACAAAATGCAGTCATAAAATCATATACTTAGGAAGGACAGTGTAAATTAAATAAATATAGTGAACTAAAGAAATGATATATTCCAAGCAGTGATTTTACAGCTAAATTAAAATTATTGATTTGATTTCGGATGCCAAAGATTATATAAAGAAGGCACAGCTCTTGTAATAACATGCTGCACATCCGGACATCAAACAGTGATTTTATAAAGCAATAAAATCACTGATTTGGATATATTATTTTGATTCTAACATGACATTAACTTAAACATGGTGCTATACCTTAAATCAAGCTAAATTTTTGTTTCTTTACTTTTTCCCACGTGTCACATTTAGTGATTACATAACATTTATAATACTGCATGTTTGTAATGTCGCTTTTCATTGGATAATCATAACATTTATATAGTTTTATATACACGGCTGCTGTTGATTTTTAAAAAAAATCTCGCTTTATTCCTCTAAAAATGATGCTTGCTGTATTATAAATTTGTTATAAATATTTCTGACAGGTTATATGGCTGTATATGAACGCTTGTTTGTAAATATAACCCTCGCCTAGCGGCTCATGTTATGTTTTCAAACAACCATTTATATAGGGCCATATAACCTGTCAAAGTTTTTATCAATAGTATGGTAGTCTTAATGAAGTGATTGCATTTTTACAAACACTTTCGGTGCTTTCTTGTTCAACAGTTCATTAGGAAACATTCAGGTTATGTTAGAATTCATCATTTGAAATTGGTTACATGAAGTCTTACACATGTAGGTAAATTGTTACCCAATTAGTAACTCTCTTATTATTTATATATTCCAATTTAATTTGTAAAATGTTAAGAATAACTTACACGATTGTTAAATATACATTATTATTTGACAATGCTAGGAAATTCTTAACTTTAAACTTATGTATGTATTTTCCTATCAATACGTTAATAGAAAAAGTATCCAGAGCTGTTATATGAGTGACAAATACCATATTTTTTTAAGGACAAGTCTTTCAAAATTTTAAAACTTTTGATATAATTTCATTCAAACTTTAGATGTTAAACATGGATAGCACAGTCATATAACCTGGCAATATTATGTAAACTATATAAAACACATTTCAACAAGAACCACCGTTGGACAGGCGCAATGCTCAACTTTTAACTTTTTAGAAATGGTTTAAACAAATCTTTAAAGCTGAATTTAATTAATTTTATAACAAAAAGAAACAGCTACATTTTGTTAATTAAATTTGGGTATGTGATAAATAGAATATTTAATTCGTGTAATGTCCATCACTGAAATTATTGCACTTGTTGAATAAAATAATATGCTCGCCAGAGTCTCGCATAATAAAATTTTATTCAATTCGTGCCATAAATTCAATATTGAACTTACACTCATTCAATATCCTCTATTTATAAACCACCTATTACATGGTAAGTGTGGTGGTAAAAATTGACAAAGGTCGAACCCCAGCAGTGAACTTGAAGATAGACAAAGAAACCTGTGTCTTGTTCAAAACACATTGTCCATCTATGGTCACTTTAAATTTTTAAATAGAAATTGAAACTTTCATGTATTTGGAAGTTACAGAGCAGACGAAACAACCACCATTTATATTTATATAACATAAATAAAGTTATGATCAATGTTAAAGTTTGTGGACAGCAGCAGAAACGCCAACATGACTGTAATAATACCTCTAATTTTTTTTCAAAAAAAAAAAGGTCAGGCTAAAACTTAAAAAAAGATCAATTAGGGTAGCCCTAGCATTAATTCCAGTTTGAATACTCTGAGATATTGTAACTACATCATCATTAATCAAAGTGTCATCAATCAATATATCTCCTATTAAAGGAATGTTTCTTTCCAAACAAACATTGTGAAGCTTACAGCAGACACTGACAATTCTGGCAGACTTCTATGGTGTGAAGGGCAGACAACCTCCTGTTTTGTGTAAACACCTGAAAAAAATTAAGAATCATTATGAATTGTAAAAAATAAGTCGGACTGATCTTAATGAATGAGTTTCAGAAGATCACTGATAAATGATCAATTTATAATTCCTTTACGTTCTAAGTTATAATATATTCGTAATATATTGTGGTACAAATTTTGAAGGGTTTTCCATTTTTATGGTCCCTATAAAAACAGTAGCATGTATGTACATATGTATAACAGAAACTGTTGGTGCAAACAAATAATAAAACAGCAAATAACCTTTATTTTATTGAAACTGAAAATTACTTTGTAAACTTACAGAAGTCTTTATATGATTTGTATCAAATCATCCGATGGAAAACAACTTTACAGACATGCAGTATTAAAGTTTATTTCTATGTAAAATGGTAAATAATAAACATAGTCGAGTCTTTCAAAATTGGTGTCATCCAATTATGTAACATGTTATAAAACTTAGTATCATACATTCAAGTGCACGCATGGCAAAATACCTAAATCTTGACTTCAACATTCCAAATGCTCTTTCCACCACCATTCTTGTCTGGCTATGAGCTTTGTTGTACCTCTCCTCCTTAACTGATCCAGGGTTGATCTTAAATTGAAATAATAAATTTCAATAACTGTATAAACTAAGACAAATATTTCACAATCTTTCCTTTCTATGACAACAAGCTTTAATATGAAAACCAAATCTCAAATAAAGTATGTTCCTGTTTAATATGATATATAGAAATTTCAAATGCCATGAATACAAACAGATTAAAATCTTGATAGCCAGCCAAGCACTTGAACATTATTCTATTATTTGTTTGTATTCACCAAATTCTTTCTTGTTTATTATTGTTGTTTTATGCTTTACATCTATGATGGAAAAAATGAAGATTAATATGTTACAAGACATTGTTATTGTTTTTATGATATAAATTTATGATGGAAAAAATGAAGATTAATATGTTACAAGACATTGTTATTGTTTTTAGGCTATAAATTTATGATGGAAAAAATGAAGATTAATATGTTACAAGACATTGTTATTGTTTTTATGATATAAATTTATGATGGAAAAAATGAAGATTAATATGTTACAAGACATTGTTATTGTTTTTAGGCTATAAATTTATGATGGAAAAAATGAAGATTAATATGTTACAAGACATTGTTATTGTTTTTATGATATAAATTTATGATGGAAAAAGTGAAGATTAATATGTTACAAGACATTGTTATTGTTTTTATGATATAAATTTATGATGTAAAAAATGAAGATTAATATGTTACAAGACATTGTTATTGTTTTTATGATATAAATTTATGATGGAAAAAGTGAAGATTAATATGTTACAAGACATTGTTATTGTTTTTAGGCTATAAATTTATGATGGAAAAAGTGAAGATTGATATGTTACAAGACATTGTTATTGTTTTTATGATATAAATTTATGATGGAAAAAATGAAGATTGATATGTTTCAAGATATTGTTATTGTTTTTAGGCTATAAATTTATGATGGAAAAAATGAAGATTAATATGTTTCAAGATATTGTTATTGTTTTTAGGCTATAAATTTATGATGGAAAAAGTGAAGATTAATATGTTTCAAGATATTGTTATTGTTTTTAGGCTATAAATTTATGATGGAAAAAATGAAGATTAATATGTTACAAGACATTGTTATTGTTTTTAGGCTATAAATTTATGATGGAAAAAGTGAAGATTAATATGTTACAAGACATTGTTATTGTTTTTATGATATAAATTTATGATGGAAAAAATGAAGATTAATATGTTTCAAGATATTGTTATTGTTTTTAGGCTATAAATTTATGATGGAAAAAATGAAGATTAATATGTTTCAAGATATTGTTATTGTTTTTAGGCTATAAATTTATGATGGAAAAAGTGAAGATTAATATGTTTCAAGATATTGTTATTGTTTTTAGGCTATAAATTTATGATGAAAAAAAGAAGATTAATATGTTTCAAGATATTGTTATTGTTTTTAGGCTATAAATTTATGATGGAAAAAGTGAAGATTAATATGTTTCAAGATATTGTTATTGTTTTTATGCTATAAATTTATGATGGAAAAAGTGAAGATTAATATGTTTCATGATATTGTTATTGCTTTTATGCTATAAATTTATGATGGCAAAAAAATGAAGATTTATATGTTACAAAATGTTTTGTTTTTTTTGTGTTTGGAATAGCTGTCATTAATAGGGGCAACATGAGGTGAAAACTAATTCAAGTCTGTACTAATAACTAGCAAAGAGAATTTCAAACTATCCACTCCCTCAGTTTTTTCCAGAGCAAAAATAGCTTTGGCGAAATTATCAGTTATAAATGTTGTCAATACCTTTGGAGTCATCAAATGAGGGCGAAGAGGATAACCAGAATCCCCTAATAACCAACCCACATTGTTATCTTCTAAATGCTGCCTGAGACCGCACATATGAAAGATAGTGGCATCATGTGTGGACCCAGGCCAGCGAGCAACAACATCGGTGAACCTATAAAAAAATGTAATTGTTTTACATTACTTCTATCCAAAATTTAGTTCATAAGATTGGGGCGTCCGTGACCGAGTGGTTACGGTCCACTTGCCCATCACCGCTGTGGGTTCGAATCCCAACAGGGACTTTGGATTCTTTCATGTGAGGAAGCTATCCAGCTAGCTTACGGAACGTCGGTGGTGCCCGTTTGTGCCTGAAATAATGCACGGAGAGGCACATGAGGTCTTCTTCCTCCACCAGTAAAGCTGGAACGTCGCCAAATGACCTATATAGTGTTGGTGTGAGGTAAAACCCAAATCAAACAAACAAACAAAAGTTCATAAGATAGTGAAGTGAATAATTCTAATAAAGGCAGATAAAGAGAATATATTACTAATCAAAAATAATAATTTAAGTATAAGACAGTTTACAGCATTTGAAAAAGTAGATGTTAATACCTATTCTTTCTGATAACCATTCAGTCAAAAGAATTGTAAATGTTTAAATAAATTAAATAATTTTCATTGCAAATACGGAAGAAAAAGAAATCTATTGCAAATTGGTTACCTCATGTTATGGTCGACAACAGCTTGGGCATTCAGGGCATGGTATCCCTTTCTACAAACAAAGGCAGGTTCCTCTAATCCTGCTGGTGCTATGATTGGGATCAAAGTCCCATCCACAGCACCAACACAATTAGGCAAACCCGCCACCTTGTAAAATCCTCTCTTCACATTTGATATATCTGCTGATGAAGTTGGGAACTTTATGTTTTCCAGTCTTTCATTGATTGAATTCACAACCTGCAAAATTAAGCAATTTATTACATTTAAAGTAAATATACATGCACCTTCAGGTCTTGAAAATTATGTTACTTACATAAGTTATCCAGGTTTTTCTTAGTTCACAAATTAACATGTCAGTCAAAACTGTATATATATGAGTCATGGGCCTCAGTAATATAATCATAAAGTTATTCATAAAATTTTAAAGTAATACCTTTTATGATTTTAAAATTTGATCTTGCAGATTCGGTTTTCACTTTGAATGTGAAAAAACATTTTGCTATTTGATAGGTTATACATGTATATATTGTTGCACAAACATTGTGCATAACACTTTAAGAAAAAATGTTGTGCCAACATCCAGTATAGATGGACAGCACCCTTCAAAATGGTGACTCAAAAATTCAATTAATTCATTTGGTAATTGATAGTAGTTAATCATACAAATAAATCAACATTATCAATAATTATCAGGGCAACTGATTAGACAAAATTTGTGCTTACTTGCCATACATGTCTGCTCACTGAACTCCTACTAACTCCATGTAGATTCCCAGTCTCACTGAAAAAATCTCCCTTTGCCAAGTATCTCAAAGTGACCAGAAGCTGAAAATAAACAAATGATGTCACATTCTGTTTAATAGTGAATAGTGAGCAATGTGTAAAGTTTTCTTGTAAGATATATACACTGAACAAAACTTATAAACACATAAACACATAAGTACTGCATATTATGAGAATTGTGATAATATGTGTCAGCTTATACAACAAATTATTATATTGTATAATACTGTACTGTATATTGTATAAAATTCTACACCAAATGCTGATGCCTTGCATATTTTCATTAAATACAAACGAAATTTATGACAATTGCAGCTAGATGATACAGGGCAGTTCTAAAAAAAAACCCACAAATTTCATTAAAATTGTGTAACTGGTTAGGCCATAATCTACAAGATGGCTGATGCAATTGATTTTTAAGCTACCTTCCATTTATTATATACTTATAAAGGAAATATTATGAAATATTATGAAATATTGAAGAAATAAAATGGGTACCTTTTTATTTTCCATATTTTAATGTAAAAATGTATTTATTTTTCATTGTAGTGAAACTTATTTTTGTTATTTTCAATTGTGCCTGGCTTTGCATCTCTTTTGTGGGAAACAGCACATGTACCTATGGAAGGAGGGTTTTCAATTTTTTTTTAAACTTATATGGGGCCTATTTGCTGCACATACATAATGAGTTATATAAACAAAAAAAAAAAATAAAACCCGATTTTGTGTAACAAAATCTTCAAAATTTATAATTAGGAATAAGTTTCATTGTATTTGCATTTATCTCAAGTTAATGATACAGTGTTCTGTATAATATTTATGAATTTGCACTTATATGTTTCCATTTATATGTTTCGCTTATATGTAGTGGATTTTTTTCACAAACCGGTGAAAGACAAGAATAACATATTTTTTCTGGGGGGGGGGGGGGGGGATTGTACAAGACACTTCACCCCTGACATATCAACTCGAGCCCCATTTAAATTAACAGACGTAAAGTAAGTTATTTTGTCAGTCAAACTGTCACTGAAATTATAATGTTAAAATAAATTTTAGAAAGAAATATATCATGACCATTTCTATTTGCTATATCTTGTTTGAAGAAAACAATATTTTTATTTCATTACTGTAAGTCTATACATTGTACATTTGTGTACATACATGTATTGATAATAGGCTATAATAAAAATATTTTAAAACAATCACCATTGTTTACATCTCATCTTCATTTGAAAAGCACAAAACAAATTTGGGTGGAAAGGGTGTAGTATCTCAACCAGATAATGAAAGATTTCATAAAATAAGTGGTAGGCTAAAGTGTCTGCGGAAAATAACTTAAGATGAAGTGTCTAAGGGTGGGGGGGGTACTGTCAATCCAAGTTGTTCACATAACTAAATTTATAAAAAAATATAAAGGGAGGTCGAGAATCACGAGGTAAATATACTATAAAGGGTAAATATACTATAAAGGGAGTGGGAGTTTGTAAATATTGAGATAAAAGGATATTTTTCACAAGACGACTTGTCAATTGTGACACAAACACGTAGCAGTAGTGGAGTCAAGGGTGGTAATAAAATGTGGGTTGGATAGCTACAGACCCATTGCCAACGGAGTTTAACTTGTTTAGAAAAAAGGTGTATTTATCGAGCGTGTAATGAATCGTGCATCAACAAATTAGTGCTGTAGTACAGGCACTAGTAACGGGCCTGTCTAAAACGCGGACGCCTTAAGCGGACAATATAAACATATAGGGAAAACGCTGACAATATAGACAAAGAGGAAAAAAGCGGACGATATAGATATATAGTGTAGACTAATTGGTGATGATTTTGGGCATTGATGAAGTTTATAAAAATGATGTGTAATTGGATTTATACTTTAATATATAAAAAATATAATAAATTAGCAAATTGGGAGAAATATTAAAGTAATTTATGATTGAATGTCAATGAATTTTATATTATTTTTATAGACACATTTTCGGAATTTCTAAATATTGAAAACTAATATATGAAATAAATGGATCAAATGAATGTCTTTAGAATTACAATGATGGTACTAAATTGGCAACAGCTGATATGTAATTAAGGATATGTATTTCATTTTGGCATTGTTTTTGTCTGTCTTTATGTGCAGTAGGCGGACAAAATTTTTGTTCGCAAAATAAAAAAAGCCTTGATTTTTCAAAATCAAAAGTTTGTAAGAGTAATTTTTAATCATAAATTATTGATATAAATAAGTAATGACAGGCTGTTGTTTTTTATTGATACAATATAAGCAGAAGCATGCTGCAAATTAACGGTAATTATAAATATAAGTGTGAACAACACGCTACTGATTAATCGTGTCGGCACTTAGCTAGAGATAACATGATACGCATTTTGCGGACAATATAGATATATAGGGAAAACGCTGACGATATAGATATAGAGGAAAAAAGCGGACGATATAGAAATTTAGAGTAGACTTATTGATGATGACGTGGGAATCGATGAACTTTATAGAAATGCTTTATAATAGAATAATATATTCATATACGTAAAACTTAATGGCAAATAAGATAATATATTTTTTTTCAAATAACGAATGATACTAAATTGACCACATTAAAAAAATAAGGATAAAAAAATTCATTCAAATTTTTACAATGATTTTTGGACAAAAACACGCTTATTTATAAATTCATGTTTTTAAGGTAATTTTAAAGTTTAATGGTCGTTGATAAAAGAAAAAGGCATGCACGTATACTCTTGTGACGGACACGTGTTGCAAATTAACGACATGCTACCTAATTGAACCTGTCCGCTCTTTGCCCTATTTTTGCGGACAATATAAATATATAGAGAAAAAGCGGACGATATAGATATAGAGGAAAAAAGCGGGCGCTATAGATATAGTGTAGAATGATGTGTGAGATAAAATTATAATAAAATAGATAATAGTGTATAGTAATATTGTGCAGTAATAAAAACGAAGATAAAGAATGAACTTCATTGCAATTTTATTTAAGCAATATAACACATTCGGTACATGAATTTATTTTACACATACAAATAATAATATCAATGTAACAACTTAATATATGTATATAGCTATAAAGAATATAACAATCACATATTTTAACAATATTTTTACTTAAGACAACAATATTAAATAGACAATGTAATACACGTTTATAGGAAAAACGATGGCAATATATACAAAGCGGAAAAAATGCTGTCCAAAAATATATTACATTTAATTTATAATAAGTATTGTTTTAAAATAATAACTATAATTAAACTAATATTTTTTTTTAATCAAAAATTATAAAATCAAAAATTTTATTTTCAGACTGCAAATAACATTGATCTTAAAGTGAATCTTAATAAATGTAAAATATATTATCAAAAAGTTCGTTTTTCCTTTAAGAACATAAACCACAATCAAAGTCATTATCAATGGATGACACATCAATGGGGGCATTAATACAATTTTTATGGAACCATTTATTACATTTATCACATAAAACCATATCATCAAGACATTCAGGTAAATTACATAGACAATAATTATAAATATTAATAATTGTATCACTATATTGTTTCCTTTTACTTAAAGTTTTCTTAGTTAATGGAAATTCCGTCATTTCTTTTCGTTCAAAACAATTTAACAAATGTTCACGGATTTTATTGGAATCGTAAATAAGATCTGTACAAAGACGTTTACGTAAACAAAAAGAAGTAATAAAAGCAATTGCATACAATCCACAATCTACACTATTATTTTGTTTGATAACATTTTGTACATTAACTGCTATTGATGATTTATTTGATCCATAAAGCTGGGATAATTGAATTTTCTACCTTTCTTACATACAACTATTGTTATAAACAATTTTCCGAGTTAACAATATTTTATCAAATTTATCAGTTAACATCTTAAATATATACCTTGGTGAGCTTTGATGAATTTTTTTTATTCATAACAGTTTTCTATTCTCCCGTTCTATACATTTATTTCGTCAGCGTTTTCCCTCTATATCTATATCGTCCGCTTTTTCACTATATGTCTATATTGTCCGCATTTTCTGTAGCCACTTTATTAATTGTACAAGGGTGAGATGTATGATTACTTGAAATATACAAGTGTCGGTGCGTGATTAAGTCAAATACACAGGTGACACGTGGATACCTTTATTAGTTGTTTGGTATTTATAGCAGAAAGTTTCTTTTATTTACTTAATGGATGAAATATAAATATAAAAGTAAAAAATATTATGAATTAAAGAAAGTTAATTGATATAAATTAATTATATACATGGTAGAAGCCAGATATTTTTTTATTCATAACAGTTTTCTATTCTCCCGTTCTATACATTTATTTCGTCAGCGTTTTCCCTCTATATCTATATCGTCCGCTTTTTCACTATATGTCTATATTGTCCGCATTTTCTGTAGCCACTTTATTAATTGTACAAGGGTGAGATGTATGATTACTTGAAATATACAAGTGTCGGTGCGTGATTAAGTCAAATACACAGGTGACACGTGGATACCTTTATTAGTTGATTGGTATTTATAGCAGAAAGTTTCTTTTATTTACTTAATGGATGAAATATAAATATAAAAGTAAAAAATATTATGAATTAAAGAAAGTTAATTGATATAAATTAATTATATACATGGTAGAAGCCAGATATTTTTTTATTCATAACAGTTTTCTATTCTCCCGTTCTATACATTTATTTCGGGAGATGCTTTGGTAGTTTAGCGCGGAGGAAGGTAGTCTAGTACTGGTGTAACTCTCCAGGAGCGATGGATAGGAAACTACCCGCCTATATGACTGAAATACTGTTGGAAAAAGGCGTAAAATGAAACAAACAAACAAACAAACAAACATTTATTTCGTCAGCGTTTTCCCTCTATACCTATATCGTCCGCTTTTTCACTATATGTCTATATTGTCCGCATTTTCTGTAGCCACTTTATTAATTGTACAAGGGTGAGATGTATGATTACTTGAAATATACAAGTGTCGGTGCGTGATTAAGTCAAATACACAGGTGACACGTGGATACCTTTATTAGTTGATTGGTATTTATAGCAGAAAGTTTCTTTTATTTACTTAATGGATGAAATATAAATATAAAAGTAAAAAATATTATGAATTAAAGAAAGTTAATTGATATAAATTAATTATATACATGGTAGAAGCCAGATATTTTTTTATTCATCTACTATTCTAACACTAAAGTCCACTACTGTAAATATGGCAGTTTAACATTTCAGTCTTACAATACACCACTAAAGATTTTTCTTGTGAAAAAAAAAATAGTAACAAGTGGTTAACAAATAGGTCAACAACTTTGAAAATAACAGTTTATCCGTTTCACTCTCAGTTTTCTCGAAAGATTTGTGCATTATTTTTTTTTTAGTTTGCAAATTTTGCAAACAATCGACGTCCGGTCTTCCACATTATACAACACTGTCTACAATGTTCCCAAAACTCGTGATTTATATGACAAGGGAGGATTAACTATAGTTTCCCCTTCTAATTTTTTTGCAGTCTACATGTTTTCTGTTTGTTTGTTTTGTTGTTTTTTTTTACGGGAAAATGATGTCAACGGAAATGAAAGTATAAATACGTGACGTATATCACATGGGAATGTTGTCATCATCACAATTTTAATCCGACATATCAAGTGCGACTAAATGAAATTACAAATTCATGTTTGTAGGTTGTTTTTTCTTGAAAACGCATAGATCTCTAATTATTTTTTAATTATAAACAAGTTCAAAGACCACCAGCCCATTTATATGGAATTGATATGGAATTGATAAAACTTGGTTAGTTACCGTTAAATGATTGCGGACATGGGGAAACGAGATGACAACGATGATATGATAATAGTCGCGCTTGTTCATTGTTTTCATCCAAAAGCTTGTTTTCTTTCTTCAGTCTTTCAAAAAAGACGTTTGTCCTTATATTCCTAGATATTGTTAGTGTATTGCGATACGTTCCCGCTATATAGATACATCGGGAGATGAAATTTGTATATGTACGTTAGTGAAACGCTCCCCCGCTGGGCAGCGTTTTACTAACATTGCGTAAGAATTATCGTAACTTTACGCTTACGTTTAAACTTACGTAAATTGTAAGTGCGTTTCACAAAACTTCCGTAAGTTTTTCCGTAGACTTGCGTTAAAATATTTCGTAACTCTTGAGAACTCTTCACTATGGGAGGCGTTGCGGGAATCAATGTCAAAATACACTGTCGTCTGTCAAAATGGAAACTGTCAACGTCAAACGCTCGAGAAAGTTGAATTGGTCCCAGGCTGAAGTCGATGAACTACGAAATTCATACTTGGAGTTTCGTAGTGTCATCGATGGACGCCTGGGAGTCACTCTCACTAATTTCCAGAAAGAGCAGGTCTCTACACGGAGAGGTATTCAGGAAAGGTAAATGTCTATCAATGTGATTCATCAAACATTTTTTTTAGTTGAACAGAGCATAAAAAAGTATTTACAGTAGCTCCGTGATTTTGATATGCTTTTGCATGGCCATTATTAAACTTAACTACAGTTCGGAATAAAAGCAAACGTGTTGATTCACAAAGGCGATTACAAATAAAAAAGGTGGGTGGGGGATGGGGGGTTACGGTAACGGTTTAACTGCATACATGCATGCAATGCAATATCTAGACTACACCGATT